TGCATGTTAAAGCGCAGTAGCCCCTGCACCCGCGGAGCACCCACTGCTGCGTGCCAGGCCCTGCTCACACTCACTCGCACACGCATTCATCCCCACAACATGCCCACGAGGTTAAGTTACCGTTCCCAGGTTTTAAGCTGAGCAAATGAAGACAGGTGTGCCCAGGGGCACACAGCTAGGAAGAGTTAGCCCCGGGATCTGGATCCAGGCAGTGTGGATGGGAGGTCTGCACTCGCGGCCACGACACCACAGTGCCTTTCTGGGCTTGGGGAAGGCCCAGGATGGCTGGATCCAAAACTGCAGGGGCAGAGCTTCGAGAAACCCCGTCTGGGCACTTCCCCACTCCCATTCGCCAGGGGCACGGAGTCTGGAGAGATGAAGCAGTTTGCAGATGTGGATCTGAAGGGCCCTTAGGTGTCGGCTGGTTCAGGGGCCCCAAGGCAGCACCGTTGGCTCACGGCTGCTCCCAGAGTTGCTGCCATTGATAGCACCATTTGTACTCCCTGTTTCCCTAACATTTTTCCTTACATAATATACTCACTCCCCTGCCCCTTTTTACTTGTCCTTAGCATTAATAGCTGCAAAAATCTTGAAATGTATGTGCCAATTATGCTTTTTTTTCTAATGCACATTAAAACCACTGGAGTAAAAAGTGTTCCTCTGGGCACAGTCTAAAATCGCCTCGCAAATGTGAACTGCACTTCGGGAAGCCACGGGCTGGTTTCACGTCCCCACTCTCTGTCTGGAGAGGCCGAGACTCAGAGAGGTTGCCTGCCCTGCCTGAGGTCACACAGCAAGTGGCAGCAGAGCCAGGGCTGGCCCTCCGCCGCCGCCGCCTTGACGCAGGAATCAGAGGAGGCTCCGAGCCGCCGAGAGCTCAGGCGTCCTCAGGGCCAGCCCGCCTGCAGCCTGGGCTCTGCGCTTGCTTCGCCGCCTGGCGGGGGGAGCCCCGGGTCTGCGGGAACTTCTGCCGGCCGGCGGGGGCAGAGGAGGAATCGTCCCCTGGCAAGTGTGGAACTTCAGCCAGGGTGGTGGAGGATCTGGTGGAAGGGATGGGGTCTTCCGGTCTACCGGGCCCCTGGTAGCCGGTAGTCGTTAGCTGCTTCGCAGCGAGGGGACGGAGACTCGCGGAGCCTGACAGTCTGAGCTGCCTGGCTAGCCAGTGGCAGAGGCAGGATTCGCACTCAGGCTACGGGCGCGGAGGTCACGTTCTTCGCCGCCCACTTGCTTTACGAAGCGGACGCTGGTCCTTCAGGGAGCCTTCAGCCCCGGCCCCTGCTACGGAATTTAATGGCCGGAATGTAACGAGCGTCCACTACAGGCCAGGCCCGGGGCCCTGGTGTTACCGTGTGCAGAGACGGCTCGGAGCGGCGCAGGACGGCCGAAGGGCAGAGCAGGGCTGAGAAGCCGGGTGTGTTCCCCGTGCGTGCGGGGTCCAAGCTCCGCCACTCGCCTCCTGCTGCCCTGAGCCCCGCAGGTGGTGCCTGCGCGGTGGAGAGCGAGTGGGAGGAGAGACAGCAGCTGGGTTTGGGGCACCCCCTTCTATCGCTTCTCCAAGCTCAGGGCCTGAGCTGCGGGAGCTGGCGGGGACCCCCGCCCGGGGCACAGCGCCGCTCTGGGCAGCCCCGGGGCTCCGCCTGGGTGAGCATCATGTCTGCAGGGCCTGGGGACCCCACGCCATGACTCCCGCCAGGTGGTCCTGGGGCTGAAGGCCAGGGAGGCAGGCAGACGGTGGCCTAGAGGCCGTACGGCCCCGGTAAAGAACTCATGCCTTGGGAACGGGGAGCTCCTGATGGCTGTGGAGGAGGGAGGGACAGGACAGGCTCAGAGTGTGGGGAAGCTCTCCGAGGCGTCTAACCAGAACCTCGGTGCTTCGCGAGAAACGGAGGCTCGGGACTGCGGCAGTGGTGGCCGGGGCTGAGGACGCGGGGCAGATTCCAGAACTACTTGGAGGTCAGCGGGTGGGACTTCATGAATGTGAGGGCTGCAGACGAGGGAAGAATCGAGAATCGGAGCCCTCCAGATTTCTAGCTTGAACGACGGGGCGAGTGGTGGTGCCACCAACCACGATAAATGTGAAAGAAGCCGGTCTCGGGCAAAGGTGAATTTAATCTCGGACACGCCGATTCTGAACAGGCTCTGGGTGCTCTCGGGGACAGTCCAGCTGAGAGCCAGAGGGACAGCTCTAGAGCTCAGGGCTTGGCCGGGTCGGGGCTAGAGAGAGATTCTAGAACGAACATCAGGGAAGACGTGGCATTTTGGATGGCGCTGAGCGGGCTGAGAATGGAAGCCCAGGACACAGTGGCGTCTGGGGTGGAGTGAGGCATGGTCAGAAGGCACGAGGCGGCCCAGAGCGAAGGTCCCATCGGCCGAGCAGAGGACCTTCTGAAGGAGAGAAAGGTCGGCAGTGTCCGACGAGCGCAGAGGGCCAGAGGTGACCGCCGAGACCCCCCCAGGACCGGCGACTCCAGGGCCATCTGTGGCCTTGCTGGGAGCAGTTTCAGGGGAGCGTGGGGTGAGGTCGGCCTGCAGGGCCGTGGCCGTGAGTGGACAGCGAAGGGCACGGAGACAGGGAGACTGTGCCGCAGCCAGAGGTGGGTGTGCAGGAGACTGGTGCGTGCTACCGCGCAGAGGCGGCCAGGAACCTGGTGAGCCTGGAGAGGTGACGCAGGGCCCGGGGAGTGCAGGGTGGGTGGGTGTGGCCCTGGACAGGAGGGACACACCGACCCGAGACCACAGCAAAGCCAGTCGCTAGGAGTAGAGACGAAGACTGGCAGGTGGGGGAAGGGGTTGAGAGGTCACACCGAATGGCCCCAACGTCCTCGAAGCGGGGAAGGCCGTCCAGGGCAGGGAGGAGATACGGGAAGTTGCCCAGTGGCCTGGAGGAAAGATCAGCGGCCCCACGGGGGAGTGAAGGAAACCATGAGCCCGGGGAGGCGCGGGGAGGCCAGGCGGGCGTTTGCTGGCAGACAGCAGGGATGGGCGCCGGGGAACCGGGGCAGGAGGGAGACCCGAGCGGGCTGGGTGAGCAACAGAACCACCCAGAGGCTGCTCGCCTCCACCTCCCTGTTTGCGCCCCGGGGCCCTGTGAGGGTGAGCGGGGTGCGGAGGCTGGGTCCCGGGCGGGATTATCTACGGCAGAGCAGCAGGGCGGGCTCGCTGGGCGCCTGTTTCGTCATCACTGGCGGAAAGGTGGCGCGGCGTGCTCTGAAAACCAGCTGTGCGTGGAGACGTATTTACGCGTGGTTGCTAGTTGGATCTGTGTGTGAGGCGAACAGTCGTTCCTAATCCTTTGCACATCGTCATGGGCTGGGCTTTCTGACAGTTAGCAGCAGTCCTTTGCTTCAGATCGGATCACTGGAAGCACCAGAGCCGGGTGGAGATCGCGGGGCTAACCCAGGACCGGGAGAAACGCGGGGCGTGAGGTTTCCTCCGGGGCGGTGGTTTCGGGACACGTCTGGCGGTGTCAGACGCCAGTTTCCGGATCGGTGGTTCTTGGCAAGTTGATGCACCCATCACCTGCCCACCTCTGGGAAACCTGCTGTCGCCTCCCTCTTGGAACGAGGGCGTCGTCCCCACTTCAGGGAGTCAAGTGGCCACCGCAGCTTCCAAAGCCGAGCTGGGCCCCAGCCTGTGACGGCCACGAGCCAGCAAACAGGCGGTGGAGACGTCACCGGCACTGGCTCCTCGGTCCCAGCCCTGCCAGGCGCGTCCCGCTGACCCCGCCGGACTCTGTGCCAGTTACGCGCACGCTCGGGATCCCAGGCACACCAGGGCGCCTGCACCGCACACATCCAGGGTGGAGCTCAGCGCCCGGCAGCCGAGGACCCTCTGGAAGCTTCCGGCACTGCCTTCCGTGGGGCTCCCCCCGCCCCTCCTACGACCTGTTGTTTTCACTCAGGGACGCTCATCGGCCGTGCAGTGAGCACCACCTCCTGTGTCAGTAGGGTACCAGGGTGCCACCAGGCCCTGCTCAGAGCATCTCCCACAAAGACGAGACTAACAGAACCTCAGGCTCTACATACAACCACGAGTGAGAAGTGCAACGTCTGGGGGATGGACACGCTTGAAGCTCTCACTCGAGGGGGGAGGGGGGCATGGGCAATATATGTAACCTTAACACTTGTACCCCCATAATACGCTAAAATAAAAAACAAAACCTCAGCTCATTCCCAGGGCCTAGCTCACCTGTGCCCCTTGCAGTCTTGCCGGGCTCCCTCCTCACCAGGGGAGGGGACTCCGACAAGCCCTGCCCCAGCCACCAGGACTCCCCGAGGCTCTGCCGCTCCCCCTGGACCTGCCACCGTCGTCCTGGGACACCACGCCTACCACGCCACGTGAACAACTCTTAGTTCCTTCGAGCCCTTAAAATCCAGCAAGTGAGAGAAACAAAACGGTTTAATGGTGGCTCCCCCGATTCACAGGCAGAGCCCTAAGACAACAGGACAGACGTCTCTCTCCATGCACTGGGACAGTGACACAACTCAGGGACGGTGGCGGTCCGAGGCCTGGAGCTACGGCGTTCGGGCCCACTGCTCAGCCCCCTGCGTCGCGAGGGCCAGCCGTCTGGCTCGGCGGCCGTGGGCACTGGGGAGGGCGGGGGCTGCCGGCCCCGGAAGTGGGCGTGCTGCAGGCGGCAGGGTGCGGGGGCAGAAGGAAGACCACAGCGGGCTCGGCTCTCCCGTCAGAGCTGCTCCCGAGGGCTGGACCGGCCGAGGCGCGGGGCTGGGGACAGGGGTGACAGTGGTGACGAGGGCCGCGGTGGGCAGGAGTGTGAGCTGAAGGCCGGGCCGTGCTCTCCCCCAGACACTGGGTTCCCGGTGACTCCCTCCACCTTCCAAAGGGTAACACAATTCCCGAGACTTGGAATGGGAAGGGTGAGGAGACGGCAGGTACCAGAGACCCCATCACTCTTCCCTGAACAAAACAGCAGAGCACAACGTCCCTAAAGAGAGGGAGAGGGAGGGAAAAAGTGCCACGGGCTTCTAGAGGGAAGACCCGGGGACCAGTGGCATCGGGGAGGGGGACGCGGCCCACTCCGGCTCCGTCTGGCGCCGAGGCCGGCAGCCCCGTGCCCGCCGCCGCCATCTAGCTGAGCATTTTGTGCCGGTCGAAGACGGTCTTCCGCTGCTCCTGCACCTGCAGCTTCCACCTCTGCTGGGCGCCCTCCACACGCTCCAGGACCGTGTTTGCTCGGGGCCCCCCGAGGGCCGCAGCGGCCGCTGCCACCGAGCGAGCATCCTGTGGGGAAAGAGCAGAGAGAAGATCTGGCGTGGCGAGCTGGAGGGGTCCCGGGTCCCGAAAGCCTGGCATGGAAGCAATGTCCCCCGAGCAGCCCCAGAGCCTGGCCTCCCCAGGGACCTCGCCCTGTCACCTGCAGGGGCTGACGCGTGGCCCGGGCTGCTGGGGGCCTCAGCGCCTGCACCACCTGCAGGGCGGGCCCCTGCCCCTCCCAGGGCCTGGGAAGGAGGCACTGCAGGGGTGTGCTCTGGGGCCTCAGTAATGCAGCCTGCTCGAGTCAGGTTCCCAGGCTGAAACACCCTCAATCCCAAGCCCATTTCTAACTCTCAAGAGGAACACCCAGTGTGAGTGGCCAGACTCCACTCAGGTGGTAGAGGACTCAGTAGCACCGTTGTCTGAGGAAATGCACCACCCCCCAGGGCTGCTGCACGGCTGGGGGACTCCCTGGCCTTGCCCGCCATGGCCCAGGGGTGGCAGGAAGGCCCAGGGGTGGCAGGAAGGCCCAGGGGTGGCAGGAAGGCCCAGGGGTGGCAGGAAGGCCCAGGGCCCAGCGACCCTGAGATTGCAGCACACTGAGGAGCCTGCACAGGTCGAAACCCACAGGACCTGCTAACTTCCCCTGGGACCGAGGGGACGTGACATCACGCAGGGAGTCTGGTGGGCTGGAAGTCTGGAGTGGACCCCAGCCTTCCCGCGGCAGGGCCTGCGCTGGCCGATCCCTCCCGGGACAGCTTGGGACCGCCGGGCCCCCTCCCCACCCGCCCCCACCGGTCCCCCTCCCCACCCGCCCCCACCGGTCCCCCTTCCCCTGTGCTCTCAGAGCCTGTCGTCAAGAGCATCCTCCCCTAATTACCACTTCTCTGCCTCTGAAGCTCCGGAGCCCCTGCATTTCCTGCAGGACCCGACCCTGATCTCTGGGGGGAATTAGAGCCCAGGGCCAGGCCCGCACCCCCGTGGGGATTTCCTCTCCGGCTCTGCCTGCCTCTCATCTCCTGCCACGCAGCTCTTAAGGGATTAGCACAGCTCGCTAAGCCCAGAGCCGCCCAGTAAATGCAACTTTGCTTCTGATGCCCCGCGCTGGCAGGGCTTCTGTCGCCAGGCAGCTGCCAGGCTGGGGCGGTGAGGGCAGGGGGGCTAGGCAGGGCACGAGCTGGCAGGGCAGAGTGGAGGCCGGCCAGGGATGAGGCTGGGAGGGGGTCCGTCATCACCCTCGTGGAGCCCTGGGTAATTCGTCCTGTGAGATGGACGCTGCCCCCTGGGGCCTCCTGTCCAGGCCGCCTCCGCCAGGCCAGGTGAGGGTCAGGCAACACCTGAGCGGCAGGGGTGGTGGCATCAGGCAGGGGGAGCACTGAGCCTGGAGTCAGGACTCCTGGGCTGGTGACCACCTGCCCGTCGCGGCCCATCTCGCGGGTGGCACCATGGGTCCACGGTGCAGGCTGGCAGGAGCGGGACTTTATCTGCCCAACTTCAGTCTAACAAACCCGGTCTCTGAGAGTACAGACAAGCTTTGTGAAACCACATTTAGTACGGGGCATGCCGGTATTCTCTGCCGTCTTCCATTTCGTTTTTTATAAATCCTGACTCACAAAATTTGTTTCGTGACCTCATGGGCTGTGACCCAGCCTGAAGCACACCGCTCCACGATTACGCCGGGGGGGGGGGGCCGGCAAAGTCAGAGAGTGTGTGTGAAGCACTTGCTACCCACTGCCGCAGAGCTGGAGCTCAAGAAACGTTCAGTTTTCTTCCTCCCGGCCAGCTTAGCACGGCGGTTAAGAAAAGTCTGGAATCTAACAGACCCAGCTTTGAATCTTGGCTCTGACCTTTACCAGCTACATCACCTTGGGGAGTTCCCTTCTTCTCTGAACCTGTCTCCCCGTCTATGAGACACTGAATGCGAGGCCTTTGGCAGTCTGGCAAACAGTAGGCGCTCAATCGACAGCAGCGACTACTGTATTGGCCCCAGCTCTGGGAGCTGAGAGGCAGGGCGAGGGGTGGAGAGCCAGTCGCCTGTGGACGGGGAGGGGGGCCGCTGTGCCACCTTTCGGTTCCACTCCTCCCAGGCCAGCGGGGCCGACTGAGCCAGCCACAGTGTTAACAGCAAGCCGCCACCCAGTTCTGCTTCTGCACCCCGTCCAGGTGAGCTGGGCCCTGCAGACGCACCTGGGAAGCCACGTGGTGCTTCCCACGCACGTGGGCTTTGGCCATCCCGTGGGCTTGGCCGTCCCGGCTCGGGGGTCTGGAGTGGCTTTCGCTTCCTCCCCACGCCCCGTCTCACCCTTTCTGGGACCAGCAACCCGTGTCAGGGCTCCGTGAGGGGTGCCAGGCTGGGAGGGGTGGGACAGCCTCAGCCCTGCCATCCTCCCTCCCTCTGCTCTGCATCTCGGGGGACGGCCTGAGGAGGGGAAGCCGGGGAGAGCCAAGAGCAGAGCATTAAGGGAACATGCTGGAATTCACCGCATTACCGCAGCGTCATTTGTTTTCCCTTCATGTAAAGTCTCGACAAGCAGCTCCTAAGTGGGGAAGCTGGGCGGAGAGGCTCCGTGTTCCCACTGCTAATAGTCCGATTAAAAGGTATTAGGACTCCACGGCTGTCGTAGGGACGCCCAGCGCAGCCCCCATCCCTGCAGGCTCTGCAGCAGGTGCTGGGGGGCAGCACCCCGATTCCTGACCTTCCCTCCGAGGCTGGTCTCCCGGTGACTCAGGGAGGCAGAGGAGCCGTTAGGAGAGGAGCTGGGGGGGGGGGCTGCCCATCACGGGGAACGGGCTTAGATGTGCACGGGTTCCCGGGAGGTCCCCAGGGGACCAGACCAGCATGGCTGACAAGCGCCGCTGTGTACCAGGCCCCCTGCTGGGCACCTGACGTGGACCATTCCCGGGTTCAAACACTGGCGGATGTAGGTGAGGACACTGAGGCTCCCGAAAGATGCATCTTGCTCCCTGAGGGTGCACGGCTGTCCGGGGGCCCAGTCAGATCCGAACCCCAGGCTCCACGTCTCACCCCAGGACACGGCGGGGTCCTACTCTGGCTGGCGTCCCCTGAGACAGAGCCAGCTCGGGCAGCCAGTGCAGCAGGCTGCACCTCCACCCAGGTTACTGCAGGGGCAAAGCGGCTGTTGAGGACCCAGGCACGGGGAACGCCAGGCGAGGCCTCCCCTCCCCCCACCCCCGAGCTGGGGGAGAGCCCAGACGCCCGAGCGGAGGAGCCTGCCTGACACACCACCCCAGACCACGCGCTCTGCAGCCTGCCCAGAAAACACTGGTTCTGAGTCGCGCTGCGCTGGGCTGAGTCTCTCTGATGACGAGCAGGTGGAGGGAGAGAGAGGACCCACGTCCGGGGGCTCTCCCCGCTCTGGCTGTCCCTCCCCCTCTTCTCTCCTCCCGGGCACAGGAGCAGGACCGGATGGTCTCGCCGCTCGCCAGCTACCCAGCTAAGAACGGCCCTAGCACCAAACCCTTTTAGCAAGGGGATGACACAGCCTCCCTGAGTTTCCCAGTTTGACCCCAATCCTTCCTGCCGTAGCCAAATCCTGTCTCTCTGCGTCCAGGCCCTCCTGACCTCCTGCACGCCGCTGCCACAGCCACCCCCCCAGGACAGACCACACCACGCCGTTCCCCGGTTCAAACACTGTGGCCGGTGACCTGGCAGCTTACGAATAAAACCCTGCTGCGTGGCCTTGTCTGGCCGGTGCTCGTGTCCTCTCCCTGCCTGCTCCGACCACCCCACGCCCCCAGGCCCCCGTGCATGCTGCCCTCGGCCTTCCTGCAGCAAATGGAACGCTACGCAGGTGTTACGGATCAGATAGTCCGTAAGTCAAACTTACGGACTATCTGATCCGTAAGTTTGAGCAAACGCCCGTCAAGCTTCCACGCGCACTAGCTTAGCAGCGGCGTGGAGGCGCGGACGGCGTCGGTTTCGGGCTGAGAGCACTGCAGCACGAGGCCAGCCCGAGTGGCAGGGCTGGGGCTCCGACCCGGACTGTGGTTCCGAAGCCTCGTGCTTCCCTGAATGCCGTGCTGTGCGGCCCCGCGGGGCTCCGGAAACGTCTACGGGGTCACCTGCCTTCCTGTTCTGTCCCCGGGGGAGAGGTGGCGCCTGAACTGCCCTCCTGTCCCACTGTCAGCCCCCGGGGCCAGGCCCGCGGCACGCAGCTGCCCGGCCCTGCTCAGGCGGGAGGGCAGACCGGGCCTCGGTGGCCCGAGTCTTCTCTTATCCCCAGGACCTACATCTTCCCAGCTCCCATCCTCCTCCTCCTGCTCTTTCCTCGATTCCCCTGCACACCCCTCTCTCCAAGGGGGCCCAGGGCTCTGCCCACCACCCAGGGGGTGGGCACTTTGAAGACCCTTCGGCGCCTGGGGCCGCGCAGTGAGCGCAGACAGCCGAGCCCAGCGCAGCCCTGATGTCTCTCTTCAAAGAGGCCCAACCCGCACATCTGACAGGGCTCTGTTTGCCGTCTCTGCCGGCAAACAAGCTCGCTTCCTCCTTTCAAAGGGCGTCTGAGCCCCGGGATTAGGCCCAAAGCTGCCGGAATCCCGGGGGGTGGCGGTGCCCCGCCATCAGGCCCACTGAGGCTCTGCCAGCGCTTTCAAAGGGACACGGCAGGCTTTCATCTCCCTCCACGGACTCAGGCTCCCCTTCCTCTCCCGGCCCTCTGCCCCCAGGGCAGGGGAGCTCCGGCCACCAGAGCTGGGGGGACGGAACCAAGGGCCTCCTAACCCGAGAAGCGCCCTGACCTGCAGATCTCCCCTCCAACTGCGTCCCACACTTGTAAGGGGGCCGGAAGCCTCTGCAGCTTACAGAGAACTTTCCCTCTGAAGTCGCCGCGCCGTGTGGGCCTAGGTGAGCTTTCAGGGAGCCCTGAGAGGCCGCGTTCCGGCCTTGCTCCTCGCGGGTCTTGGGGTGAAAGCTAAACCCCTCCAGCCCAGCCAGGGGAGACCTGGTCTTGCTTCTTTTTTTTTTTTTTTTCTTTTGAGACAGGGTCTCGCTCTGTCACCCAGGCTGGAGTGCAGTGGCACCATCACAGCTCACTGCGGCCTCCAACTCTTGGGCTCAGGTGATCCTCTCGCCTCGGCCTCCTGAGTAGCTGGGACTACAGGTGTGGGCCACCATGCCCAGCTAATTTTTTTTTTTTTTGGATGCAATGGGTCTTACTATGTTGCCCAGGCTGGTCTCCAACTCCTGGGCTCAAGCCATGCCCCCACCTTGGCCTCCCAAAGCGCTGGATTGCAGGTGTGAGCTACTGCACCCAGCACTGGCTCCTTCCTCAGGGAGACACTCTAATAAACCACTAATGAACCCAGAGATAGGGCTTCGCTGCTGCTCAGCTGAGTGCTTTGTGACCCCCCTCCCTGTCCCCTGCCCCCCAGTCCCTGCACACCCCTTTCCCCATGCACCGAGGGGGCGGGCCAGTCGATCCCCCTCACCACCCAGCACCAGGGCCTCGGGCTCTGTAAGGACAAGCTCCTGGGCTCCGTCTAGCCCCGGTCCCGTCCATCCTCCCTACAGCAGGCCAGCAGTCACTCTCCCGTCCATCCTGAGCTGCCTCTGAACAAGCCCCTCTGCCAGGAAGCTTCCTTGTAGACCAAGATGCAGAGAAAGACGACTCCCCAACCCTTGTCCGGTAAAAAGGAACCTCCGGAGGCATCCGGCTTCCGCACCTGACCGCCACTCAAAAAGCGTGTCTTTCTGCAGCCTTTGCATTCCCTGCTGTTCGCCTGGCTGTGGCTGCCGCGAGGCTCGCACCACGGGCAGACGTAAGGCCCGTGTAAGCCTCCACGCGGTGCCACCTGCGGCATTTCTGAACACAGCGGGACAGACGGGGCTGCTGAGCCACAGGGCCCTGCGGCAGGGACACCATGCAGCACCCCGGGAGGCGAGGGATGGGGCGGCGATGCCAAGTGACAGACCAGAGAGCATTTCCTGACCCACCCCAAGGGCATCCGATGAGACCCGCCCACCCCAGCCCTCACCCAGGCCGAGCTGGCTGCACCTCGATCCGGGCGTCCAAGAGACCGAGCATGTTTTATGACCTTGTGGAACCTGGGGGTGGCAGGTGAGGGGGTGCCATCCTGCCCTCCCCAGGGCAGGAGTCTCCCTGCAGAACAGAGGTGGCCTGGCCAGCTTCGGCCCCAGCACTGCCTGTCACAGCCAGCTGCCCTCCCAGGGACCCTCCGGGGATAATCCTCCTTCCTGCTGAGCCCAATCCTGCACCAGGGACGCTGACGTCCACTCTCCGACTCGGTTCTGCCTCTGGGAGCCAAAAATTCGCCAAATCCAACCTCCTTCCTCCCTGAGGCCCTTCACAGAGACCCGAGTGGGAAAGGACAGCCAGGGCTCAGGCCCAGAGGCAGAAGCTGCCCTCCCCCGCTCCGCCAGGCCGTGCCCGAGAGCCACGCATTCCAGGGAAATCATCGGCTGCATCTCTCAATTACTCCCCACGCCAGGCCTGCAATTACCACCTTACCCCTCATCTAGGAGTCTCTATTAGCGGCGCCCCGCCCCTACCAGAGCTGCTATTACTCCGCATTAATAACCAGGTAGGCCCACGAGGCTTCCTCTGGAACACAGACCACCCAACGGCCAGCGCCACCTCCCAGGCCCCAGCGCAGAAGGGGCGAGGCTCATTCCCTCCGCTGCACCTCTGGCCAGACCCGCATCAGCTGGAGGCCACAGGCACACCAGGGACAGCCCGGCCCCGGCCCCAGGAGGCGCAGCAGGACCGGTGGGAGCGGTGCTGGCCTGGCCTGCCCCATCCCGCCTGGCCTGGGCAGCCTCACGCTTAGACTGAGCCCTGCATCCTCCTTTTGGCGGGAACCTCGCTCACGACCTTACAAGGGAGCCTTGGACCACGCGGTCTGCAAGACGACTTCTCTCACATCATGTCAGGTCTCCCGCCCTGCCTCCCAGCTGCGGTCCTCCGTCCCCTGGGCGAGGCCCAGCTCTCTCCCTAGACCTCTGCAGGCAGCTATCCTGAGCCTCCTCGGCCTGCTCTTCCTCCCCTCAAGCCAAACACCTCCGGCTTCTTCAACCAATTCTCCCCAGGCTCAGCCGAGCCACTTCCCCGGGAGCTGCTGCTCCGGACACGTGCCTGTGCCCCGAACGCCCACTCGCGCGGCCGACACACACAGCGCCGTCCAGCAGCAAGGCGGGACGCAGCTCACCCCGGGCCTGTGCCCGAACGCCCCCCGACCGCCCTCGCGCGGACCCACACCACCGCCGTTCCCAGCAGCAAGGCGGGATGCAGCATCACCCCGGCCAGGGCCTGTGCCCCGAACGCCCACTTCGCGCGGCTGACACACACAGCGCCGTCCAAGCCAGCAAGGCGGGACGAGCTCACCGCAGGCCTGTGCCCCGAACCCGCCCGAACGGCGTCGCTTGGCCCCACAACACGCGGCCACGTCCAGCCACAAGCAAGGCGGGACGCAGCTCAGCCCGCAGGGCCTGTGCCGCCGAACGCCACTCGCCGCTCCCGAGCACACACCAGCCCGTCCAGCAGCAAGGCCGACGGCAGCCTCACCCGCAGGGCCTATGACCGATACGCCCACTCCTTGCGCGCCGACACACACAGGCCGTCCAGCAGCAGCGATGGATGCAGCTCACCCGCAGGGCCGTGCCCCGAACGCCCACTCGCCGCGGCTGACACACACAGCGCCGTCCAGCAAAGCAAGGCCGGACGCAGCTTCACCCGCAGGGCTATGCCCCGAACCCCACCCGGCTCTCGCGCGGCGACACACACACGCGGGCCGTCAGCAGCAAGGCGGGACGCTAGCTCACCCCGCAGGGCCTGTGCCCGAAACGCCCACGTCGCTGGCCCACACACAGACACACAGCACAGCGCCGTCCAGCAGCAAGGCGGGACGCAGCTCACCCGCAGGGTCTGTGCCCCGAACGCCCCACTCGCGCGGCCGACACACACAGCACCGTCCAGCAGCAAGGCGGGACGCAGCTCACCCACAGGGTCTGTGCCCCGAACGCCCACTCGCGCGGCCGACACACACAGCGCTGTCCAGCAGCAAGGCCGGGACGCGCAGGTCTGTGCCGCGGCCACCACGGCCTGGAGCAGCCCGAACCCCCGGCAAAGCCCCGGTGTCCCCGTGTCCCGAGCGCCCGGCCGGCTGCCGAGTGCGTGAAGGGGGACAGAGCCACGAGGGGCTGTGTGGTCTTCGCTCGGCAAGGGGGTCCCCTGTCCTTCCTGGGGGTACCGGGCTCACCCGCTCTGCTCACCACGGCGCATGTCACGTCTCGCTCCCGCGAGGAGCTCCCCTCCCCCTGTCCCACCCCGGTTTCCTCTCCACGGCGTCCCTGACCCTTTGCAGGTTGCCCGGCACCAGCGGTCCCCCGTCTTCCTCACCCGATAAAGCCAGAACCCCGTGCTCGGCACTTGAGGCCTTCAACAATCTGGCCCAGCCTCACTGGCCAGCTCTGCCTGCCACTGCTGCCCCGGGGCCTGCCTTTACCCTGGACGTGCTCGCTTCCTCGCATGTGCACGGTGACGTCCCCTGCTCAGCACCATCTGCCTCACTCCCCTTCCGCTCCTGAAATCCTGCTTCCCCTCTCGAGCCCGGGGCCATGCTGTGCACTGAGCAAGGGCTCGGCAGGTGTTTGTGGGGTCCCTGAACACGAGGACCGACTGCCGCCCGCAAGCCCACCACCGGCTTGTCACCGGATCTGAGCGAGCGGGGTGCCGTGCGCATCTGCGTGTCACTGGCCCTGGCTGGCTCACTCCCCGCTGCCCGGACACGCACAGTGCGACAGGAAGACGCGGCTCGGCAGTGTGTGCACCGAGGCCACCTGCAGCCAGGTGTTGGGGGAGTCCAGGGCCACCTCCTGCCTCAGCTGGAAGGGCCAGGGCAGCTCCCCGATGAGTCCAGGTGACGTGCGGGACACTGAACAGGAGGACAGCACCCCGGGGCATGCAGGCGGGGGAGGAAGAGACACCGATCCCACCCAGGCCCCAGCAACGCTCTTCCGGGCTCTGCCCTGGGGCCTCGCGTACTGGAGCCCAGGGCCGGGGTGCCGCAGCCTCAGTCACCTCATTCTCCTCCTCGTTGTGCAGTTGCTCGGTGTACGCGTCCGGCTTCCGGATCAGAGGGTCCACCAGCATCAGGAAGGCCATGTAGAGCAAGAGGGCTCCCACCACGGACAGGTAGATGACGATGATGACCTGAGGAGGAGACCGGCACGCCTGTGAGCCCACGTCCTCAGCCGCCGGCGAGCACTGCCCGGCCCGGGGAGGGCAGAACCTGGCCCCGGAGACCGCGGTGAGGCTCCACGGCCTCTGAGAGACCGGGGCAAATCCTGCCTGGGGCAGAGGAATGAACCAGGGCCTCCTGCGTCCTTCCTCATCGCTTATGATGCTGGCTGTCTGCCGCTTCTCTCCTAAATTCACCCAAACAGGCGATGGCAACAAGGTTCAGGGAAAAACCCAAGGAGCAGTCTGACGCCCCTCCCGGCCCCGGGCCCCGGCACCCAGCCCCGGCCCCTGGCACCCAGCCCCGGCCCACAGCCCGGCACTTTCCGGAGGAGTCCGGCGTCACTCTGAGAGCCCGACTGGACTGAGCTCCGGGAGGGCGGGCGAGCCCCCCCACACACTCCCAGAACACAGCAGGCGCTCGGGAGAGACTGACTGGAGGAATGGAAGGAGAGAAAGGGAAAAAGCTGGAGAGAATGGAGGGGAAAAAGAGTCTCACGGAGCTCTCCTGCACTCTTGGCTCTCGCTGTAACGGGAGCCACCGGAGGGCGGCCAGAGAGAGTGCCAGCCCCGGAAAGGCTGGGGCACCGTCCCTGTGTCTGCCAGTCCCACAGCCACGTGGAACACGCCAGGATAAAGTCACAGACTGTGTGTGGGGGAGACAGCCGGGGACAGGGGCGGCACGCAGGCCTCCCGGGGCGCGTGGGCCGGGCGCACCTTGATGGTGGTGGTGCTGCGCTCCTCGTACCGGCACTCGCACAGCAGGCAGTAGGCCTCCATGTCGTGGCCCGGCACCGGCATGGGCTCCACCACGTGCAGGCAGTTGCTGCAACAGAGACAGGCGTGGCCGTGGGGACAGGGCTGTGGGAAGGGTCTGCAACCTCAAGACCAGAGGCAGGGGGCTGGGGGAGCTGAGAGGCAGGGGTCGGGCAGAGGTGAGGTGGGGTGTCCCCGGGGTCGGGCGGAGGGTTGATAAAGGGTTGGGCTGGCAGAGCCCTTCCCGGCCCCCAGCCCCCTAGCGCGTGCCCTGCCCCATCGGAAGCAGCTCTGCAAACAATCGTCAGCCTTCCTCCAAGTTCTGCCCTCCCACCTCACACTGCGCTCACGGTGCAGAGCCGCTGGCTCTGACGGCAGATTAGAACCTCTAGCCGGGACCTCTCTCCTCCCAAGAGCTGGACTCGTGTCTGGCTGCCCACGGGATTCCCCCCAAGTGTCTCACAGGGACCACCAACTCCACACTCACCCCTGCACGGCCTTGCCCCGACTCCCCAGCCCTGCACGCTGGCCCCCTGCTACCAGTGGCAGGAGAAGACCTCTGTCCCCACCCAATTGGCCAGGCGACCCCGGGGTCATCTCTGACACTGCTTTTTCTGTCCTCTACGAGCCCACCAAATGCCAGTGATGTTACCTCCCTAGAAACTCCTGAAATCCATCTTCCCTGGGGCGACCGGCCCAGCTTCCCTGCTGCCCCCTCCCGTCTCCGCCTGGGCCTGTCCTTCACTACCTTCCCACGGCAGCCGAGCGACCTCACCAAAAGGAAACTCTGGTCTTGTCACTCCGCAGAGCCCCCAGGGCAAGGGCCAACTCAACTGCTCTGCCCGGGGGTCCCAACCCACTTCTCGCCGGCCCCCTTGCCTGCTGGACCCATCTCTGAACGAGCAGCGCCCCACGGCTCTGCTGCCCAGCCTGGCCTTTCCGCTCGGGAAGACTCAGCTCTGAGCTCTGTCCCCTCCCCAACGGCCAGCTCCCTGAGCTCATCCCCTCCAGGCCACCGCGCCGTGGCGGCTCAGTTCAATGTTCCCAGTGCCTGGCACCGTGCTGGCCGGAGCAGGGCTAAGTAAATCGATTACACATCCTAAGAGTGAGCCCACTTCGGCCGCCCTCAGCTAACAGGGCCCGTGTGAGCTACAGGGCTGGGTTTCCCGCAGCACGAAGGGTGTGCAATGTGAGGGTCTTGTGTCGAAATAAGAGTGGGATATCCCTTATTAGGGGGAACTCTGCTCCCCCTAAAACTGCAGCATGTGGCACCCACGGGTTTATCTAAGCCTCTGATGATACCAGTTCCATCCATGGGCAGCAGCTTCCCACGTGCTACCCCCTCTGTGAACGGGTCTCCCTGTTGCAACCGAAAGCACTGGCCTCAGACCCTGCTCATGGCCGCCTCCTGTCCAGAGGCAGTGCCGCCTTCCCCTCCTGGGGACCAGCTTCCTCCCTATGCTGCGCCTCGCTGTGTCCTGCGTCTGGCAGGTCATTCCAGTGCCGCAGTGGCATCTGTGGGCGCCCTGCTGGGCTGGGACGTGGGGCCGGAAGCTGGCAAGGGCCAACTCGAGTTCTTCAGTGTGGGACCCTGGTCTCCAGGGGGATAGGCTGGATATAGGGGGTACAGCGGAAACATTCCTGTCTCAGGCTCTCCTGGGAATCGGAGAAACCCAAGGGAACACATTCCTGCTCTCCTAAGGGTTTCCTTTTACCTTTTGGGGTTAGTGATAGCAAGACTCTGTGGACGGGTCAGGGGGCACTGTGGGGAGAGAGCTAAAGACAAAGACAGGGTGGGTTTAGTTCTCTGCTCTTCTCTTTATTCTGTGAGTGTTAATTTATTTAACTTCTCTGGGCTGAGCCCGATGAGTGTCTCTGAAACTGTGCTCCTCTGGGGACCACGGGCCACCGTGCAGGAGGGTGCAGGTGAGCACGGGGCCGCGGGACACCCCCCCCCCCAGCCTGAGCAATACTGATCCTGTGTTTTATACATTTTGCGTTTCCGAAACAGATTTCGTCAGTAGAAGGGTTCTACTTTAACAAGGTTGAAAGGGAAGGAACTGGCCAGCTTACTTAGTTCCTTCCCGCTCTGGGACTGTCGCTCTAGCACCTCCCCTTGCCAGGCCCACCGAGCGGGAAGAATGATCGGGGTTTTTGCCTTTTTATGCACGTGTGGTTACAAGCCCTCAACGCTAGATGGCAGAACACCAGCAGCACAGGAACGGGCATGACTTGGCCACTCAACCCGAGGATGGCCGCTCGGGATGGGGTGGTTCTTGTTTTTCTCTGCAGGACCCAGGGCAACCCTCTCTCTGCAGATGCCACCAAAGTGAAACTGTGGCAGAGACCTGAAGATCCATTCAAACTGGCTCCTTCTCGGGCTCTAGCACTAAGGTGCTACGATCAATCAATGCCAAGGCTCCACCCCACCCCTTAAGGGCTCCAGGCAAACACAGGGTGACTCCCAGATAAGGTAACTGTCACTGGGTCCCAGAGCCTGGAGTCTTTCCTCCCAGCCTGTTTTCACCCCGCCCTTCATAGAACTGCCTTGAGGTTCCGCTGTGAGATTGTTCATCAGACAGCCCCCCACCTTCCTTCTACGGGGAAGGAAGAGATAAACGATAGCCCGAGGTCTAGACAGGGCGCTGTTCTCTGCGGGCGTCCAGGCTTGAGTTTTCAGGCCATGCTGTAACTCCAGAGCGCGCTGCCAAAATCGCCGGCGCCTGCCTGCACAAGGGGCGCGGGACATGGACTCGTGACCCGGTGTGGGGCCTGGACAGCCCATCGACGCATTTACTGCGGCCGTATAAACCGTGACCACAAGACACAAGGTCTCCAGGGCTCCTCCCAAGCCTTCAAGTCTTAGGGCTTTGGGACTCTATCGGGACAGCCAGAAGCAGAGGCAAACCGGCTTGTGGTCTGAGAGGGGCCCACGGTTCCTCGGGCTATATCGTAAGTTTAACCATGATTATCCACGTGGCCTCTAGTAAGGCGTGATAATATATATTAATAACATCAGCCAATGTTTCTATAACACTCACTGCATGCTGGGTATTGTTCTAAGAGCTACGCTTGCTTACACATCCATACTTAACACTCAAAATACTGCCACTGTTATACAGATAAAGACATCAAAAGTACAGTGGAGACAAAGCAAATGAAGTCATCTGTTGTCACACAATTAACAAGTGGCAAAGCTAGATTTGAAGTCAGGAAAGCTGGATCCGGAGTCTGTATGTCTATCCAAACCACCTCTCAGAGCTGGAAATTCAACTAGCTTCAAGCTTCTCAAATATTGCTCTGGACCAACTGCATCATAAGCACCCAAAGAACTTTAAGAAAAAGTTACCACCTCCCCCCCCCAATATTTGCTGAATCAAAATCTGGAGGGGGAGGTTGGGCCAGTGGCTCACGCCTGTAATCTGAGTGCTCTGGGAGGCCCAGGCAGGGAGATTGCCTGAGGTCAGGAGTTTCAGACCAGTCTGAGCAAAAGCGAGACCCCATCTCTACAACAAACAGAAATATTAGCTGGCTATGATGGTGCCTGTGGTCCCAGCTACTTGGGAGGCTGAGGCAGGAGGATTGCTTGAGCCCAGAAGTTGGAGGTTGCTGTGAGCTAGGCTGACGCCACTGCACTCTAGCCGGGCAACAGAGACTCTGTCTCAAAAAAGAAAAATCTGGAGAGGGCAGTGCTGGGAATCTGTATGTTTTCAAAGCTCACCTGATGACCCTAGTAGTGGCACACTGACCCAGACCCCCCTTCTGCAGTGACCTCACCTCATCTGGGCTCTGATCTCCCTGAGGGTGGGGCTTCGCAGCTCCTGAAACTGCCTTGGATTAGAGATGCTCCTTCAACTCAGGCTTAGGCCTGTTTCCCTGAAGCTGTCACGCACTGGCCCCGGTTATACACCAGAAACCACACTGAACAACGTAACTGATCTCTATGAGCAGCGGCCCCCACGGGCCCCACCTCCCACAGCACGCCAGCCCTCCTCCGGGTCTTGGTCAGCCATCGGGTGTCCCCATGTCCTCCCCTCTTCGGGTTCTTTAGTTCCTTAAACAGTTCATTCCAGGACAGTGTGCTGAAACGTCCCTTCACCAAGCTGGTCTCCTCTCTCTGAATGAATTCTTGATGATTCTTCTCTTTTTAAAAGTGAGGCACCCAAAAATGAATTCAAGACTCCAGGAGTACAATTTAAATTCTTTCTCTGGGTCTCAGTCTCTGCAACTAGAAAATGGGAGCAATATCCATCCCATCCACCTTACAAAGCTGCCACGAGACCGGCACAGAACAGCACCTGTACCAGAGCTTTGCACAAGCCCTGAGCGTCCCACAGCATGTGGCGGGACACCGGCCTCTCCCAACTTCTCTACTACCACTCTGCATATACCACTGAAGACCGAAATTCAAAGCGAAACAAGAAAGTCCACTACTCTGACCAGGAACCCTTCAACTGGCATTCCAGACCCCTGGGTCCTGCTTCCATGCACAACTGACGACGACCATGGGATTGGTCCTGTGACTGTGGACAAAATGTTCCTTTGTAGGAATCTCCATGGGAACGGGACAGCATGCTTATCCTCTGGGGTCCAAGAGCTCTAGTAAAACACCCACAACTTTGAGGGTGTTTGCTAGAGCATCCTTGGAGGACAAACAAGCAGCCGAGGGCCAGCCCCTGGGTGACGCCTTACCAGTCCTTCTGTGACACATTCTGGTTGTAAATGTGCCCGTTGATGTTTCTGTACGGAGGGCAGATGCACTTGCACCGGATATCTTCGGAACTCTGGAAGAGAAAGAGCGTATAAGGTGTGCAGAGCCCCTGCCTGGGTTCAGGTTCTGAAGAGGCTGCCAGTGTCAGTTCCCTGTGTTATCAGCTGGCCGTATGTATGCTCCTGAGCGTTCCCCACGCCCAAGTTCAGCAAGGACAGCGTCTGCAGGAAGGATGCTACACCACAGGGTCCTCAAGACAGAAAATGTCCAGGCGGCAAATAAGACTCAAAGAAAGCTTCCTAGGGCTACCATCCCCTAAGTGGGGTGCTTACAGGGCAAAGGGGTGGGGGTGTGGCAAGTAAAGTGAGAGTCCTCTGCTCTGGACCCCGCATTTGTGCGTGCACCTCTGTCCAGTGGACTTGGCAGCCGGCCGGCCTCTTCTGCCCATTCCATTTCCAACTCCCTAGGTCAGGACTGGGGAAAGGGAAAGAGCAGGGGTGAATAAGGAAAAGTAGAGCACTTCCATGGGAATACTCAAGCAACCCCTTTGAAAGTCCTTCCCTTCTGGAACGGGTAAGAGACAACACCCTAAACGGTTTGTATTCAAATTAGGAATTTCGTAGAGAGATGGGAGCAAACCCTCAGACTCCACCTTGCGTCAAAGCCTTGGTGATCTTTAGACTCTAAAAGTCCATAAACCGACCCAAACTCAGCTCCGGGTCATTCACCCCTAAAGAATGGAAGTTATCCCAGGAGTCCCAGCACTGAGGTGGGTCTCGACCCTCAGTAACAGAAACCTCAGTCTGTACAGGACTTTACACTTACAGAGCATTTTTACGTCGTTGTGTAATTTGATTCTACCTGGGCAACAGACACAACCACCATGACGGGTTGGGCATTCCTAATCTGAAAACTCGAAATGCTCCAAACCCTAAGACTTTTTAAGCACCGACAGGACCATGTTGTTATTAACACTGCAGAAAAAGTGCCTGGAGACAACATGTTGAAAATGTGTGGCGGGCTTGCTGAAGGACTGGAGCAGCGTGCATTCCTAACAGAACCAGAAATCACGTTAGTTTGCAAAACCAAAGGGGGACTTCTGTGGCAAACGCCATCGTTAACAAGGGGGATGACTCTGGAGGAAGCATTTTAAAAAGCCATTCAGCGGGATGCCTCTTCCTCCCTAGAGGACAGGACCCTCCTAGTCCCTCAACCACTTCTGATGTTTCTTCTAAAAAAATTTAAGTGTAGGCCGTGCGCGGTGGCCTGTAATCCTAGCACTCTGGCAGGCCGAGGCGGGTGGATTGCTCGAGGTCAGGAGTTCGAAACCAACCTGAGCAAGAGCGAGACCCCATCTCTACTATAAATAGAAAGAAATTAATTGGCCAACTAATACATACAGAAAAAAAATCAACCAGGCATGGTGGCGCATGCCTGTAGTCCCAGCTACTTGGGAGGCTGAGGCAAGAAGATTGCTTGAGCCCAGGAGATTGAGGTTGCTGTGAGCTAGACTGACGCCACGGCACTCACTCTAGCCTGGGCAACAGAGTGAGACTCTGTCTCAAAAAAAAAAAAAAAAAAAAAAATTTAAGTGTATAGTAGCCTTTAATAAAACATAGCATCACAGGTAGAGACTGAAAGCTGCTGTCCTTCACTATCGTTGTTGCTTAACACCTGGGACAGTTTTCCCAGTTATGCTACTGTGTTGCTTAGTGACGCTGAACATACTACGTTTTCACTGCATTGATGGTAAGTCACTTTTTTTTTCACCGTTAAGTACTTACATCGATTAAGAATGCAATCGCTTATTGGTAGCACATAAGCCTAGAGTCAGGAATGGTGATGAAGATGCCAAACAACCAGAGACTGTCCTCACGGGTGGCTGAGAGAGGGACACGTTTGCTTTCTGATGGTTCAGTGTACACAAACTATTTCATGCACAAAAGTATTAAAACTATCGTATACAATTACCTTCAGGCTATGTGCATAAGGTGTATGTGGCACATCAATGTTTAGACTTGGGTCAGTTCCCCAGATATGTCATTACATGGGGTGTCCCAAAAGTTGCCATACACAGGAAAAACGGGAAATCGTGGCTAAATGTACCTCTACCTACAAAATATGCATCACAAAATTTTTCCTTTGTATGGAGGCTTTTGGGACACCCTGTATATAAGCAAGTATTCGAAAATCTGAAAATATCCGATATGCAGAACACTTCTGGTCCCAAGCAAAGGACAGCATGGAGAACTTGGATAACTTCTCCAAAGTTCCTTGCTGGAGTTCCACCACCGGTCTGTCTGACCCAGACTCAACCTGTGCTCTGTGCACCCCCCTTGTCCCCGCACTGTCTTCAGGGAGGCCTGCAGCCTTGACTCTAAGAGAACAAGCCCGAAAGTCCGGCCCATAGGTGAGTGAGGGGCAGGCCCCGAGGAGCAGCTGCGTCTGAGGAAGCCCTGCAGGCAGGGCGCTCCTGCCCCAGGTGCTGCGGGCTCACCTCCCTCACCTTGTTGGCTTGAGCTGCGGGGACCAGCAAACACCCGACCACAGCCACCAAAGATAGGAGCTTCATGCTTATCAGGCTTGCTGGGCCAGCAAGGCCGGACACCTGGAAAAGAGACACGGAGTGGGAGAAGAGGGGGCTGGCCACGCCACGGCCAGCATGCTCGGCCCCTTGACCACTGGGCCGAGAAGTGGGAATGCGGGTGGGGGCTGGGCGCCCCGATTCCGGGGCCTGCTGACCCGGCCCCAAACGCTGCTCCCCGCCCCCCAAGCCCGCGGCTCTCCCGTGACCGCGTGCGGGCCCCGCAGAGGGGCCTCCCGGGGACACCGCCGCCAGCGCCCCACCCCGCGCCTCCAAGGCCGGCCGTGCCCGGCGCATGCCGCCCCGCCGCCCTCCGCCATCTCCGCTTCTGCCCGCCCCGGCGGCTCCTCCCCGCGCAGGCCCGACGGGAACTTCGGGCGCGGAGTCGGAGAGCCCCGCTCCGGCGGCGAGGGCCAGTGCCCACCGCGCCCGGCGGCCTCGGGCCGGGCTGGGACCCCCAGGGCCCCGCGACCCCCCGCGCCCTGCCCCCAACGCCGCGTCCACGAACCTGCAAGCCCCGCCGCGGCTGCACAGCGCCCAGCCGGCCCCGCCCCCGCCCGCTCCTATTGGCTGCCGGAGCAGCCTGTCTGCCCGCGGTCGCTATCGCCCAGGCAACAAGACCCGCCTCCGCCCGGGCGCCGAGGCTCCTGCGCAAGGGAGAGGCAGGCATTTCTCAAACCCGGCCGGGCAAGAAAAGGGAGCGCCGGCGCTCCGCTCCGGGACGCGGGAGGGGGCGCGCCGCTGCGGGGCCTGTAGGGCGACTGCGGCGCCTCGCCCGGTCCTGTGTCCTAAACCGCTCCTGTTCCAGGTTGCTGTGTTTCAGAGAAGGCACTTTGTACGCTATCAGCTAGTGACACCAACGATAAGAGACTAAAGAGCTTTGTCCTCATTCGAAATCTGGAAATGTTGCTTAGGGACCCACCTCTTTACCGCAGAGGACGGTAGCGGGCGACTCCTCCGCCCCTACCCGCACACACGCCCTCGGGAGGGAAGGAGAAGACAGGGCTGGCGGTGGGTTCGCTGCGGGCTGGGCCTGCGCGGAGGGTGCAGACAGCCCCAGCCCCGTCTCCCTGCCCCGCGAGCTGGTTCTGGGCCTGGCAAACTGGGGCAAGGTCTCAGGGCCAGGATGCAGGGCCAGGATGCAGGGGCGGGGCGGGCGTCCCAGGCTATGAACTTCTGGCCAGCTGTGAGGGAAAGAGGAGCCACCTGAGCACAGGGTGCGGGAGCCAGAGTGAGGACCCCTGGGCTTGGGCCTTGGCCCTGCCACTGAGCAGGTGTGTTTGTTACTCCTCCTCTCTCTGGCCCGGCTGCCTTGTCTGTAGGAGGAGTTGGTTGGATTCTAAGATCCTCTTCAGCTTTGATATGTTGGGATTGGGGGTGGGAATAGGGGGGAGGGGGAGGAGGAGGGGAGGGTGTTGGAGGGGAAGTAATACAGCCCAAACTCAAGGCTGATGGCTGGACGGGCAGATAGGCTGGGTCCAGGTGGGCTTCAGCCTCTCTCGGGCACTGTGAACATTGGCAGGCAGGTAGCTGGTTTGTGTTTGTGTCTCTTTACACTTATGTCGTGTCCTCACCACCTGGGGAGTGCCCTGCACTTGGTGAAAATGTTTGCTAGACTGGACTGGGTGAAATTAGACCTAGTTGGCGGGGAGGGGCAGGGTGCACTATGGTGTGATGGGAAGTTCGGGGACCTTGGAGCTACAGTGATCAGAGCACGGATCCTGGTCCCTCTCCCTTCCTTGTTGGATGAATTTGGAGGGTTGACTTATCCTGTGGGGAGTCTCAGTTTCTACATCCACAAAATGGGGATAATATCCCCTAACTTTCAGTGCTGTTCTGAGCGTGTAATGAGCCCTATATGTGCAAAGTGCCTAGAACACAGCCTCTGGCACAAAGAGAGGCTCTATGGATGGAGATGGCAGCCCGTTCTGGAGGTCAGAGTGGCTGCTTTGGTGAGCAGACTGGGGTGGGGACAGGCTGCCGCATCATGGGGACAGAAGGGACAGTCCAGGCACCAGAAAAACTGTTGTTCTTGCCTCCATGCACGTTCTGTGTTGAAGTGGGGACCTTCACGGGGACAAAAGCACGGGGCTGAGTCTTTTGGCTCCAGTGGAAGACCCTCTGGCACTGAACCCTAAAGATACCCACCGCTGAGCTCACCGTCTTCCCCACCACACAGAGGCCAGGCCTACCCGCTTTCTCACAGCACTGTCATTCTGTCTTTGACTCCTCTCTCTCCCACTTCCTCATCTAGTCCAGCTAGGTGTCGCCAAGAGGCAGCTATCATCACCCTGCCTGTATCTGGCCTCAGAGAGCAAAACATTAATACATTCCCTTCCCCTTGTCCTCCTGGGCCCAGCCTATCTTCCTCCACTTGTGCTTTCAGCACTTTGCTCATTGCCCAGTGATCCCTGGTAGCACTTTGTCACATCAAATCCAGCCCCCTGCACCTGGCATCCAAGCCCTGGCTGCCATCTCCATACTTGCCCTCCTCGACTCTCCCCCGGCTGTCCCCACCTTTGACTTTTCTCATTGCAGTCTTCCACGGATGTCATCGCACTTCAGCCCTGCCAGTGCTTATCCTTCGTCTCTGTCACACCTCTGCCCAGGCACTTGGCTTCCAGAAGATTTTCCCAAGTAGCCCTGCTTGACCCAGGCACCTCATTGCCACACGCCCTCCGTGTGCCCTGTGTTTAGGAGCCGTGCCACAGAGATGGGCCTGGACCTACTCACTCAATTCAGTTCCACGAACATTCCCCAAGCGCTGTGAGCCAACCCCGGTGCTAGGACACGACAGACAAACCACAGGTGACTCTGCTTTCAAGTAATGCACAGTCTAGTAGAAGAGCAATCACATGGTCAGGATATAACTTAATATAGAAAGTGACACGTCACAGAAGAACTTTCCCCCCAAAATATTTTTGAGCACTATGATGTGTAAGACATTGTGTAAGGTGCTGGGGATGTCTCGGTAAACAAGACAACCCCTGTCCCTGCTCTCATGGAATTTGAAGTTTATCGCAGGAAAATGACAAATCAGCAAGCAATTACAATTCACAGTGGTAAGAGCTGCGCTGGGGGAGGATTGCAGAGGCTAGGATTATAGGTGTAAGCCATGGTGTCTGGGCCTTTTTCATATTTTTATAGGGATTTTAGAATGCATACATTTGGGTAAACAAGTTAGCACATGCTTAGAAAATTGCAGAAACCGCAAAGCTGTGTGTAGTACGGGTGGGTTGGGGAGGAGGGCGAGGAAACAGGGAATATCAGGATCCAAAAAGATTTGGTAAGGTTGAAATGAAGGCTGAATCTAAGTTTCCCACTTACGCAAATATAAGCTGAGAGAGAGAGGTAAACTGAGGATGATAAGTAGATAATACAAATGTAATGTGACTGACAAGAAGAAGCAAACAAGCTAATTTGACTTCAGCCAGACTTAGCACAATTTAGGACCTAATAACTCATTTTTTTTTCTAGAATAAAGGCAATGGTAGTCCACCTTATTCTGCACCAGCAGCCCACAGCTGGGTGCTCTGTTTCATTTTAGGGACAGCTGCTACGAGGAGCACAGACCAGAATAGTAACACATTTAGAGAACAGTGGCCAGTGTGGTCAAGGCCTGGAGCCCCTGCCATATGAAGAACAGCTGTAGGAAATGGGACAATTGTCTTGGGAAAGAGAAATCTGGGGGTATGACAGCTGTCTTTAGCCATCTGAGGGGGTGCCACGTGGAAGAGGAATTGTTTGTAGTGCACAACCCCGAAAGGTCGATACTAACAGAAAAATCTTTCAGTTTAATATCAGGAAGAATGTTTAACCAGCTTGTCTCAAGAAGAAATGAGTTGCCCAGAGAGATGTTTTATTATCACTGAGGGTGTTCAGACATCTCTTGGACGGACACTCGCTGAAGCTATTTCAGAGGGAATTTAAATGTCAGATGAAAAGTTTGCTGAATGACTCTAAGTTCCCTTTTAACTCTGGGATCCTGTGAGTCTGGCTGGGTGAATCTGGACAGATCACTTAACTTCTTGGAACCTTAGTTCTTCATCTACGAAATGATGGCTCGTTTTTTTCGGACTAAGGATTCTTCAACACTGGATATGATTCACTGAGTGGCTGAGCTAGGTGGTGTCAGACACACTCCCAGCCATCAGCGGGGACTCCCGCAGTTAGGGTGCTTCGGCTGTAAGCAACGGACGCTGGTTTGTTGGAAAGAAGTGGGAAATTCACATAATCTAAGAAGTGGCTGAAGAATGAAGCATGAAGAGAGCAGAAACTAGAGCGTTTTCTCCTGGTGTGCCACAGCAGCGAATGGGCTGGGCTGGGTTCCCCCTCTCATCCTTAGGTCACTGTTCAGCGTTCAAAGTCCAGACAAGAGAGTCAGTCCCTTGGATCTAACTTGCTTTCACGCCTGCTCCTTGGCAGGAAAGGTCAGGACCCCTTGACTGCCGGCTCAAGATGAAATCAGAAGCTATCACTAGCAGGGTCAAGCAGCAAGTGCCCCCCCAAAACCTCCGCCCCTTTCTCTCGCACTCAGGGTAGCACATCAGAGCTCGGGACAGTGAGTAGCACTGTGGCAGGAACGGTCTGCAATCTGTTTTAACGTATCTTCAACAGTGAAAAATGCCCTCATGTGGACGCTGGAATTTTCACCAGGATCAGCACATGTGACTTGTCGACCTGTCGTAACCGCGGTGAAATGCAAACTAGTCTGGGAACACGGCTCCCCTAGGAGACAGGCACGCTGATGCGCTCGTACACTCAGCAAACAGGTGTCGGATGCCCACCGTGTGTCAAGGCCAGTGCTAGACACCGAGACTCGTTAAGCCGGTGCAAAAATGGAAAGGTTAACTATCCGCCCCGCAAACGCAAAGGGCAAGTGCATGGCGTCAGGGTTACACAGGGCGGGGCGGGCCAAGTAGGGATTCCTGCCCCCCCCCAAAGGTGGCCCACCCCCATCCCACCCACGAGCCACCACGCACTCTAGTTAAAAGTCCAGTCCCCCTCATCCCACCCTGGAGGCTCCGCCCCGTCCAGGCTGCATGAGGCCCTTGCAGTCCAGTGGCTGGGGGTGGGGGGTAGGGCGGTGGTGCCCCCCAAATAAGAACATTTGTGCCCCTGGCCAGGCCAGCGGCTGTCACCTGAGAAACATTGACAAGAGCAGGCGTGAAAGCAAGTTAGATCCAAGGGACTGACTCTCTTGTCTGGACTTTGAACGCTGAACAGTGCTAGGACCTAAGGTGAGGGGGAACCCAGCCCAGCCCATTCGCTGCTGTGGCACAGAGGAGAAAACGCTCTTGTTTCTGCTCTCTTCATGCTTCATTCTTCAGCCACTTCTTAGATTATATGAATTTCCCACTTCTTTCCAACAAACCAGCGTCGTTGCTTACAGCCGAAGCACCCTAACTGCGGGAGTCCCCGCTGGATGGCTGGGAGTGTGTCTGACACCACCTAGCTAGCTCAG